GTTTATTAGTAAAGAAACACAACATTTCAGCTGTGGAGCTTTCTTCTGGTGTCACCACAGCCAAGACGTTGTTTCTTTTCTTCTCTTATCAGCATGGAATAAATCTTTACTTATTCCTTTGCAGCCTACACATGATGACACCGCTACCTACATTTTCTACATCTATGAGAACTTAGCTAATTCACTAGGACATGTTTACCACTTGCTTGGGTGATGAACCAAATTTCATTAAACAACTTTCATTTAACTCATCGCCTTGGTCCAGATACGGCCCTTCAATCTATGACTGTACGAAGCCAGCAGAAGCACAACCGCAGCTTTTCAGTAACACAGTAAGAGCAAATGCAATAATAACACCGAAGCAAAAATTCTAAAAGTATCGAACCTTTGTCGTAGTTGCAAACACACACTGCCGGCAAAGCCACTTGTCATCTGAAGCAATAACACTGCAGTCGATATTTGGTGCATGGCACAGCTGGTGATAACCTGCAACACACATGAAAAGGGCAACACACATGAAAACACATTCACTTTTCTCTTTTACTCATGGGAGAATATTGCTGCAGTCAAGGGTTACCTTGCCCACACTTATCACAGATGACAATCTCGTTTGGAGCTTCCGAGTTTTCTTCCTGACATATTGTACAGACCATCTCCCCTCCACTGCTGGCTCCTAAAAAACATGCAAGACAAAACATTGGGTATTTTTTTATGATCCTTTATATTTCTTTCACCTAAACGTAGAAAGAAACAAAACCAGTGGACTGACTACAAATAAGGACGCACAACCCAGAGCCGATTCCATGTCCAGCACTTCACTGCTGTGAGCCACAACAAATCCATGAAAAGCCACCAAACACGATGCTCTAACTACCTAAATGCAGGTCTGCTTTTGTCAGGGGAGAATCCCAACACGGCTTTAAGCACAAAACTTTAAGCAACATGAAGCACAGACAAGAAAAGCAAAATGAATGCGTTCAGAAACAAGATGCAGGCCACCAACTTGCTTGCAATATAAAATGGGTTACGCATCTTAATTAAAAATAAAAATTCTTAATCAGACTAAGCATAAAAAACACAAACCAGCAAAGCAATGCAATCAGAACAAGGGTACAATCACGTAGGACTAGTGTTCTGGTGTACAAGGAGGTCTTGCTTAACTCTAAACCAAAGTGTGCTCATAGCCTACATGTGGGAAAGATCCACAGGCTGATGTGTGCATTTTTCACTGAAAAAAAAATTGCTTCTGAATATGACAGGTCAGCTGAATTTCAGCACCACTTTCACAGCAAGACTGGCTTTCCAATGCACAAAAGACATCTAATGATGTAAACCACAGAAAGGAAACGTAAAAAGATACATATTACATACATGAACACTGACACAGACTTAAAAATACCTTCCCTAATCATGCCACCGATGCCTTTCAGAGCTTACTGTTTGTGTAAGCCCAGAGACCCTGTAGTCTGTCAACTGCTCAGAGACAAAGTAAACATAACTTGACCTGAGCAATACAGGGAGAAAATTAATACAGAGAGAAGAGCGTCAAAAGAAATCTCAGCATAGAAAAGGAAAACGAGCTGAGTAAAATAAGTCTATCTAAAAAACGGAGGTTCTGTAGGTAGATCGTCCTGGGGTATTATCTGTGGAGAAAATAGAGAAGTATAAAGCAAAACTTAAAAGAGGAAAAGATGGTGAGCTTCCTAACACAGAAAAGCAGTGCTGACAACACGAAGAAGCACTCTGTTACTCTGACGTAATAATATTGAACCAATTAATAAACTACAGATGAAAACCAAGTCTACAGTGCAGTCCGCTTATATTTCAGTTCAAAGTTTAATTACGAGAGAAAAGTATGCAAAACCTTATCATATTTACACTCTTCTTTAAACCTCGAATTGAAAAGAATAAATCACGCTTAAAAACAGCCACCCCCCTGGGTTTCGAAGCCAAGGAATTTGGTTTGTGAGCTTTACCAAAATTAAAGTTCCATCTTATCTTGTGCAGGACATTCCCATAAAGAAGCTTTAAAAACGCTGTCATTTACTGTTCATGGTGTTGAATTTTCCCATGAGTGTTTGCAGATGAAAGTTCACCGACCATGAGAACACTATGAGCTAACTCATTTGTCCCAAATGAGAAAATATGTTCCGTCTTGATCAGGGAACCTGGCTACTAGTTTTACGTTCATGATAACGATAAATACCGTGCTGTCCAATTCAGTGGACTCTTCGGATCTTTTAAGTTGGAAAAGGGGGAAACTTGCCAGTTTGTATGTCCTTCCAGAGAACCCAGGATTTCGAGCGGTCTTCAAAGACGACAAAGCAGCGGTGTTTGTGTTTGTTTATCTGGGGGGGGGAAATATCGACATGAGCATCTCACATAACCCTACAGTACTTTCCAGCATACTTCAAGAACACGAACGCATTTACTCAAAGCAAAAATCCCAAATTAGAAAAATCTGGATATTTTCAAGCACCCTTAAGAAGTGACCACTGATAGGCTTGCAGAGATCAGTTTGTTAAAATATCTATAGATTACCTTGGTGATAGTTCCGAGATAAAACAAGCCATCGGACCACCTGGCTAGGACATCTTGTCCCTCCTCAAATTTGCTTGCAAGCTTTTTTGTTCGCTGCCCATCCTTAAAAGACAGTTTAGCCCCGGTCACAGGCGTCTTATGGTTTCTGTTGGAATGTGCTTTTTTGTGGAGAGACAAATTCTCTACTTCCGTTGCGTCTCTGTCACAGAAGGGGAAGGAAAAATGTGTTGAGATTTAGGTCATTAGTTTTGTGGAGGTGCAAACAAAAAAAGCAAACACTGAGGTGTCAGGAATAAATGTCTCAAAACACTCGCAAGCAAAAATTACTTTTTAGTGTTTGTTTTGACCACCCAAACAAAAAGACCATCCATAAAACAGATAGGTTACTCGCACTCATTTTATAGCATCTTCCCCAGTAAGAACTACATTACTGACCAATAGCAATCCACTATTCACCAATGCTCTTTTATAATTTGTTAAAATTAGTAGATCACTTTAGAATCACAGAAAGCACATCTTGGAACTGTTGAATGTAACAAATGCCATGCCTGACACCAAGATCCCAGCGAGACACGATCTGTCAGAACACAACTCTCACCCGTTCCCTTCCTGCATGTGTGGACAAATTATATTTCACTAAGCAGCAAGAATTTGCATTCACTGGATCAACTGTGAAATTAAAACGTTTTAAATCACAAGCAGTGGCTCCAGGCGATTTAACTATTTTCTTCTACATATCAAAATTACAAATCTATCCTCTTGATCTGGAATTTCTAAACTTCTGAATTTTGCCTTTGCTTTCTCATGAAGCAAGAATAATTTCTATGTTCAAAGGATAGGTGAAATATTTAAAAGACCATCTTACTACTTACACGAGGGAAAAAAATATCCCAAGATGATGTAGGAATACTTCAGAAAGGAGTAAAAAAATATATATTTCTATCCCACAGCCCCAATGACCCCATTGATGATCACACGAACTCCCTTTCCAATGAATTAACCATACCAGGCTACGCTATAATTTCTCATGACCATCTGTAATGTGGTCAGTGCTGAGCCTTCCTGTCCGGCGATATGCCACGGAGAACCTAACATTTCATTCGGCTTTATTATGTGGTGGACGTGCAGTACGGTGACCTCGATGCAAGAAAAGCTTAACGGCTGATTATTACACTCTCATTAGCCATCTTACATTCTGCATATATTTATACACGTGTATCGTAATTCTGTAATTTAAATAACTGGTTAAACTATATGCATTTGTGGAGAAATGCATCACGAACATCGTTAACACTTCGCTTTCCACGAGACTTCGTTTCCAACATGCGGCACGTTCAGCAGCCCCGACTTGCCGTTAATCAGATCTGGTCTTTATTGATACGTTTACACACGTACCGCATTTGCGAGGTGCTTTTACTCTTTTGTACGTGGGGGGGGACACAACCCTTTTGTTGTGTATGCGAACAATGAAACGTCTATCTCCGGAGTTCTTCCACAACGCTTCGGCTTCACAAATGCAGTTAAATGTCCGCAAAGCGACAGCAGAGCAAAACCGTTGAACTCCGAAAAGCTACGTCAAATGCATCATTTTGTTTTAAATAAAAACAAGCAGCGCACTCCGCTGATAAAACGCAACCCACCCCCCTCCCCGTACTCCCAATAAAACATGAAACATATTTCACCTCATTCGGTCACTTCACCCGGTCAAAACGTTTCATACAGTAAAATATTCGGCCTTTGCGAAACTCCCGGTTCTCTCGTCCAAATAAAAAAAAACTGCCTTCTACAACCGTGGAACCGCAGTCCCCTCCTTTTTGTTCAATGGTTTCCGGACTCGGGGAGAGAAAAAAAAAATGTTAAAAGATTACAAACGGTTCCCTCTCCCCCAACACGTTCGCCATTTTGGTTTCCCGCTGAGACTGGGGTGCATTCTGGGAAGCGCCCCGTGAGCAACAACATTCTGCGCCGCGTGCGGACGGCCGTGGTCTCGGGCCCGGCGGAGCGAAGGAGGAGGAGGGGGGGGGAGGGAGAGCGCGAGGGCCCTCTGCCTGCGCACACGCGGATGCGCGCGGCGGAGCTGCTCTGCTGCAGGCGGCCCCCTGGCGCCGCTGGTCTGGTCTGGTCTGGTCTGGGCCGGACCTGGGGCCCGACTCCGGCCTCTGCCGTGGGCGTGGGCGTGGGGGCCAAAGAGGAGGCGTTGATCGCGTTTCTAACGGGCGCCGGTAGAGGGAACGGCGAGTTCTCTGCTACCGGTGCGCCCGACGTCGTGGTTGTAGCCCAGATTAAAAGCAGCCAGACGAAATGAATACCAGCTATACCGCATTAATAACACAGCGCGCCATTTTAAAATGTTTATATGCCTGATTCAGGTAAGGCTTTTAAAATGTAAAATTTTTTAAAAAAGGCAACTTTATGACTTGTTGCAGACTAATCTGGGGGCGTAGTTTGCACTACCTTTACCGTTAAAACACTGAAGGCGACCAGTGATGTCGGTTTGGCAGGACTGGCCGCAATTAGCGGCTCGGACAGCCAGGGACTCTCCGGCTCAGCGTGCGGGGAAGGGTTGTATCGCCAGCCGACTGTCCTTAGCTGGTGTGGCAGAACTGCCCCAGTAGAGAGAGAGGGAGAGAGAGAGAGCGCCCCCTGCGGTCTTCTGTGCACTTGCAGGGGAGGTGCGCCTCTCGTCCAGCAGGGGGCAGTGCTGCTGCCACATTCCAAAAATAGTGTGTGTTTCAGATTGATTGAATAGGAATTAGCCCGTCATTACTGTTTTGAGGAGAGCGATAGTACTATTGGTAATGAAAGCTAAAAGTAGAAATACGAGTTAGTGTTCTAACTGTAAGTTTTTGATTATTGCATGCTTCGGGGTGAGGGTTAATTAATTTAATGGTGCTGCGATACCAACAGTATCTTCTAATTACCACCTGAGGGCGCTGCTGTCAAAGCTTCAACTGCTCTCCTCTTGACTCCACCCCACTTGACCGAACACTGAATCTGGGGAGCTGCGTCAGCAGGCAAGTCAACTTGAACTCTGTGCTGCAAAGCAGGAGGAAAAGAAGTCCGATTTATCAGATGCTGAATTTTCTCCCCCGGAAATGAATCTCCAGCCGAAACGTTGTGTGTCCTCGTTATATTTCTATTCAAGCTGCTCCACCGCTCTGTCTTTCCAACGTGAAAGCACAGCACGTACATTCTGCTCTTTTCTGACGTTTCTTTTTTTTTTTGCAAAAGGGGGAGATTAAGATTAAGATGAAGCGCTCTGTGGTGCATTCATTTGCTTGGCTCAGCAGGAACAGGTATCCAGGGAAACATGAGATATTTTACACACGAGTTATCGCCAGCTGGGTTTATCACCTGAGAAAGGTTGCTCTGGCAGGTTTCACGCCCTGGCTGAACCCTCAGCGTTACGCCTGTGGCCAGCTCTCAGCAGCTGAGGTGCTGTGCTATTCCAGGGTGCTCCCGATGGCCCCCGAACTGCATCTCGCCTCCTCTGAGGGCCCAGCCGGTTTTACAGCTCGCAAGGAAAAGGGTCGCCGTGTCCAGTTGAGCGATCAATGGGCTCTATCAGGTGATCAAGTGAAGACGAGCCACAGGAACCTCGGGGCCCTCCAGGAATGAGCTGTGAGGAAGAGCTCCGGCGCGTCAGTGCTCTTACTCGCCAAGATCTCAGGACTTCTCCTCCGGGCCGAGATTTGTTTCAGAATCCCAGACTGGCCCAGCAGCACGTCGCCTAGATAATGAGCCGGGAGTCCTTGGGCATGACGGATATCCAGTTGTACCTGTCCCAAACCACCCAGGACCCCTGCTAACACCCTATTACAAGGAGGAGATATGGCCTACTCTGATCTGGATTGAACACCACAGGGAGGCCTCCTCTGGTCACACGTGTCTCTGTATGTGTGGAAAGGGGCATTTCCAGTGTGATAAAAATATCCTGTCTTCGCAGTTATGAGTGAAGTACGAGGGCTCTGCCCGTCGTTTCACAAAATCTTCATTTAGTTTCCTCTCGGTACACAACTGCGCTGCTGATCCGTATTTTTCTCATTGAAACGCGCGTGTTTTCCCCTCGTCGCTCCCAAACTCGCATGTAAAGCACACAGTTAACTTCTCGCTTGACCAACAACAACAACAACAACAACAAAAAAAAAACGTGTTAGCTACGGGTTGTTTTATTTTGGAAGCGCTGCTGTTCACGCCACGTCAAGCGCCCAGACTCCCCGCCCCCTACACACACACACACACTTGGAAGAAAAATGTTAAAAAGACACAATTTGTAACAACGCAGTAGCGACCCGCCCGCCCGTGTGAACCGGGCGCGTAACTGATGCGCGCAGCTAAAGCCATTTTGTGTCGGCGAAATCCCTTCCCTGCTCCTGCGCCTTTTATGCAGCACGCACGGAAGGCAGGGGTATCCAGCGGTGGACTCAGCCCACAGCAGCTGCAGCGCTCCAGGAGAGGAGCAGAGGAGAAGGTGCCGTATCTGTCGGCGGCCCGGGGCGCGTTTGCGAGGAGCTGTCCCACGGGAAACGGGAATGACTACTGGGTAACAGGACGGCACATGATACACTGCATTTCCGCAGCTCGCTGGTCACAGTAGCGGGGACGGACAGGCGGGGGGAGGCTCCATCATGCCGTCTTCTGGTCTAACTGGGGGGTCTTTCCGCAGGTTGATGTGGTGAGATGTGCTGTTTCTGCCATGGCGAGGGGGCTGTTTTCATGGGCCTGGCTGAAAAAGCCGTACTACATTCAGGTAGGCCACCCGGGGGGGGGGGCACTTGGCTAATTAACCTGCACGGTTTGCGGGGCAGGTCGCCGAGGAGAGCGGTGCGAGTCCGTGCGTCCGGTAGGGCTGACCGAGAGACACCGGCTGCCGTACGGCGAAGCCGCTGCGCCGAGCGGTGGCCTTAAACTTTTAAGCTCTTTACGTTCAAGCTAACGGATCCCTTCTGGTTGTCTTCTTGGCCTTTTACAAGTTGTTCGCCTTTTTTCCTCCCTCCCTCCCCCACCAGACGTGGTAACGGTTCGTTTTACGCCGGAGGCTCGGCTTTCATGGGGTGTTACAAAGTGCTACACGCATGCGGAGGGCTCCTGAAAACAGCCGTCGTTTTCTCTTTGTTTTCTCTTCTCCTTTGAAGCCGGCGGGGAGGTCGGGCTAAGGCTACTCGGGCTGGTTTGCTCAAGCGGGTCCCGGGAGTCTCGGCAGTATTACGGTCCGGCGCAGTCCTGGCAGGAGTGTCGCCGGTTGCTGTGGCAACAGCTCCACGGCCCCCCCAACACCCGCCTGTCATTCGCGAATGACAATAAATAGGAAATAAAGAATAAAGCGTGCGAAGCTGTGTCGGTTTAAAAGGCTAAATAGCATGCGTACAGTACATTTTTTGGTGGTGCTACAGTGGTCGTCAGCCGGGGGACGGTCCCCGGAGACCCCACACACACACCTGACAGCCCGTACAGGGGGTCACGCCAGCACCTCCAACGATGAAGCCTTGCGTCTTTCCGTCTTAAAGATTTGGGGCTGCGGATAGTGTTCCGTGTTTTCATCTCGTCCTTAAGATGGGGGGGGGGGCGGTCGCAGAGACCGGCCTCCGCACACGAGTGTCGGGAAGACGAGAGAGCTTCGAGGAACCCCTGGTCTGATAGTGTATGAATGGTCAATCTGCAGTTGACATGAGGGGATCGTCTGAAGTGGGGGCACACTGGAGCACGGGTGAGCGCTGCACCCTCCCAGTTCCCGGGGTGCAGTCTGCGTTCGCATGTGCTCCCAGGGTCTGGTCTCCTCCCGCACTCCGGGCGTGGTAGCATAAGGGTGGGGTAGTCGGCTGCTGGCCTGTGGGTGTGATCTGCCGTGCTCTCGTTGGGCAGGATAGACGCTGGGTTCCCCACAGCCCTGCGCTGGATGAAGAAGTTAGAACGTACTGGATGCGTGAATCGTTCACAACATCTATAGGATCACGGCGGTAGCGTTTGTGCTAAGCCTAACCTAAGATAAGCTCATTGCTCTTGATATTTGCAGATGCATTATTAACCTTTATCAATAAAGAACCTTTATTTTTGATAAACTGGCGATTAATAGAATATTCATTAAACCTTCTTATATTCAATTTAGCCGGAAGCATGACCAGATCATACAGTAGATGGTTGTTAGTGCAGTGTAGCACATGCAATTTGTAAAGTGTCTTGTCAACAGAAACAGGGAAATGCTGTGTCCACTTCTTCGTCAAGGGTGTTGTAATCTAAAACCACATGGAACCAAAGAGCAGGGCTCCTCAGCGTTGTCAGCCTTTATAAACAGGGCAGTGCAAAACAGCCGCCACTTAATTGAGAAATAAAGTCAAAGTTAAAAATAATTTTCGTATTTTATGAAGTGTACATTTGTGAAAATGAAAGTGTTTTTGCCGTTTAAACAGAACGAATGAATACATTATAAGTATTAAACTGGCAAGATAACTAGCCAGACGTGTATTTGAATACAGTGTCTTTCATGCGAGGAGTGTTCTTAAGTATAGAATGCGTTCCATGCTCAGAAAAATAATATAAGGAGTAATTTGAATATGTCCTTCCTTATTACTCTTGTAACTGAAATCTACTTTTAGTATAATTGTTTTTTTAAATACGCGTCTGTTCCTTATTTGGAGTTAAATGTGGAAATTATGGACTTTCACCACAGCCAAAGTGTTTTTACAGCTTAAACCTCCACCACAGCACCTCTGAGCTACGGCACTTGCGGGAAACGCTTTATTAAACGTTTATTATGCTAGATTATTCCAGTGAACGAAAATAGCAGGAAGGGCTTTTGGTTTTGAGAGTTCTGTACAATCGAGAGGTGAAACGGTGCAACAGTGAGCAGAAACCTGCAGTAAAAGCCAACGAGGAGCAAGAGGAGCAGGCCTGGCCGCAAGACGGATACCGTGTAAGATCAGATCACTTCGTTGGCCATATACAGTTTCTTGCATTAGGAATTTGTCTTTTCGCGTACCCCAGCCTGCTCTCCGTGAGACACGCAGACAGGGAGAGAAGCTGGGGGTCAGAGCGCAGGGTCAGCCATTGTACAGGGCCCCTGGAGCAGCTGGGGTTAAGGGCCTTGCTCAGGGGCCCAGCGGAGTAGGATTCCTCTGCCGGCCGCAGGATTTGAACCGGCAACCTTCCAGCCACAGGCGCAGACCCCTAGCCACAGTGGTACGGGCAGCTTAGTCAGTGCACTGTGTTGTGCAGAGGCAGGCGAGCCTTCAGTGTTGTGAAATGTTTTCAGTCATGAGTATTCTCTATATACCGCCCTAATGAGCCTGGTGCAATAATCACAGTCCGGTCCGGGCTGGATTTTCCATCCCATCCACGGTTGGAATGCTGTTTATTCCTGGTGAAATTTGCGCCAACCCCGAGCTTACCCTGGCCTCGCACGGCACGGCACGGCACAAGGCAGATGCCAGCGCGTTGCAGTGCGCACTCATGCAGCCCAGTGAGAAAGGCCAGTTACCCTCGACAGTGCGCCTCCGGGCAGTGGGAGGAAACTGGAGCACCCAGAGAAACGCCATACGCAAGCAAGGGGCAAGCATGTGCACTCCACACAGAAGGCACTGCAGTCTGGGCACAAGCCTGGGTTTTTTTTTCCTATTTTTACCTAATTTTTCTAAAATATTTTAGATTTTTCTTTTGCCCCCTCGCCAGCCCCCCCCCCAGTTCACACGTCTTCATTTCAGTTTTCTTTTTTTCCCGAAAGCCCTCAGATTTCTTCGTTCCAGAATTAAGCCTCTCTTGGCCTGTCCTCAGCAGCAGCTTTAAGATAAAACCACTCTGTGGAATTACTGTGAAGTAATTTTCCAAAGAGTCTGAATCGTAGGGCTAGGATTAGACAATTTTGGTGAAAGAAAGGTTTTTTTTTTTTAGTTTTCACCGGGAGCATGTTGAATTGCCAAATTTTATAGGCTTAGAACAGTGCATTGTATCTGTATCCTGAGCTCTGTGCCCTGCTCATGTGCCAGCTCAGAGGAATAGGGACCAAGGGCTAACTTATGCCAGCTTGGGCTTTTGTCAGGACAGGAGACTTTACTTCCTGTCTTCAGCAGGAGCAATGACGATGACGTTTATTTTTTATATGTTGCAAGTTAAGCAGCAATTATCATTTAAATGTGTAAACCATACCATAAGCTGTCTATACACCCGTGTTTCATTTTAATTGCTCGTAATGCGCTGTGGAGATTTATAGTTACCTACACAGCGCTTGTGCTCTTTTATAGTGTAGCATATAAACAGCACTGCTCAGGCTTATTGATGTTGCCTGCGAATATGTCAACCAACTTTACTGCCTTTGGCAGAAACTGCAATATGCAAACCAAATGTTGTGAGAGATTATTTTGTTTTCAGTCAGGTGGTTGTCAAAAAGGTATGTTTTAAAGCTGAAGTTTGGTTTCTCCTGTTTGTTTGTTTGTTTGTTTGTTTTTTCTATATACTTGAAACAGGCAGTTGGGACGTTTCATTGAATCCACACGGTAGAAATGAAGAATCATGCTGAGCATGTGTCTGCTGTAACCAGTGGCAAGAAGTGATTTAGCGATCGGCATCACTGTTTCCTCGGCTAAATGCTAATTAAAACAGGTTTCAAGGGAAAACCTGGATGTAAATTTTAGAATTGTGCGGGGAGGGCGTTTTGATCGTCCTTTATGTGCAGGATATTACATATGGCTTTTTCATGCTTGGAACTCTACTGAAATCATTTTGTTTTGGCAGTCTCTTGTCTCTGGAGAAACGGTGATTAAAAAAGGTCTAATTAAGGGAAAAAAACGGCACTAAGATAGATGCATCAAGTGTGCCGTGTCTCTGTTTTGCACTCCTGTGAGCCAGTCAGTGTCCTGTTCATCTGTCTGAATGATTCCCGAGCCTGAGCATCACCAGGGCTCTTCTCCAGCCTGATCCCAGGCGAGCGGCTTGTTACAGGGGTTTCGGAAGCAGCTGACAGTCGTACTATTGTATCGGTCCTTTTCTACCGAAAACATCCTGATCCTCAGCGGCTGGCTGATCGCTGTTCCTGCTCCTGCTCGGAGAGATTAAGAAAGTCCAGATCGCTCTGCTTATGTATTCCGTGCACGGCTGGGTCAAAGTGCAGAACTGATGAAATGACAGAAACCCTCCCCTTGCCAACCTTCGCTCGACGTATAAAAACAATTGACTGGAAATTTACGACCAGAGCCTTGCCTGCTGCTGTCATGTGCTACTTCTTAGCTTTGATCAAGCTGTAGATATTTGTATGGACAAATAATAAATTAGTCATGGATTTATTACGAATATAAATTATGTCTAAGGTTTCCTAATGCATCCTTAGATATTCAGTAGTGATTAAGTCAGGGCTAGTATGACTACAACTGTGTATCAGTATCAGTACTTCCTCATACAAGTCAATCTGCAGCATTACCTTCTCAATAATGGTATGCCTCAGTCTGTCCTGTGCCATTCGTACGACCAGTTCAAGCAAATATTTTCATTTGGACAGCAAGAGGGGGTAGGCTACCTCTTGGGAAACTGAACTTTTTCTGTGTTACAGGCTCTTTGAATCACAACGCTGTGATTCGGTTTACACACACGTCGTGGGAACGGGGAATAATAGTTGGTCTGCACACAGATAAGAGGCAAATCGCTGAAATTTTCAGATCGTGACTTGAACTCTTCCCATGACAGAATGGGTGCAGGTTTAATATATGGCTATTAAGATTGAAAGTTGTTTTTTTTTGCCTTTAAAGTAGTGTTGTCTTGTTCCTG